TATATATATATATATATATATATATATATATATATATGGAAGTATGCTGTACTGCCTTTAATTTGTGCTGGTATAAAAAAAATAGACATTTTGTATAGACATACACTAAAATGAAGCTAAAAACATTATAGTAATGAATTGTCATGCAAATAGAGTCACAATGCAAACAAACCTTAATGGACCTTAAAACAAGCTTCATTTACTTTAAAACATCATTTGGGATGAGATGTGGTCCAGTCATGTTGTTGTGAAATTAACCCACATTGCCAAAATGTGAAACTTTTTTTCAAAGTTTCCTATTAGATTGTAATGTCCCTTGCGTCATTCGCTTTGCTCTGTAAATCAGATCCTGTAAAACCAGGCCGCGAAATGATCCTGTATATGAAGAAAGAGGCCCTTTCTAAAGAAAACCTCCTCAAATCTCAGGTCTGTTTGGTTCACAGTGTCGTCTGAACGAATCTTCTGTTCCTTCTGCTTCTCTTCACTGGAGTATAGACCCGCTGGAAAATAACTGAACTCGTCCTGACCTCGCTTTCAGTTTTATTCAAATTCAGACGTTCTTGAAAGGGAAAACGCTGTGGTGACAGACAGACTCGCTTTCACTAATTTCCTGATGTGTTGGGAATGCTATCAGGAAGTTAAAATAGCTTAAAATAAAGCCCCAGGATTCGGTGTCAAAAATGTGAGTTTCTTTTCCTTTCACTTCACGCAAACTAAAATACAGCCAAGAAATGCAAAGTCACGCATCAGCCATCACTGAAAATACCAGCGTAGGACGTACTTTGAAACAGTTTTCGCTCAGAAATTGCTCGTAAATTTCACAAATAATTACATAGAAACAACAAGTAACACTTGTAAGTTGAAAGAGTAAAATGACATTTTCTTGTAAAACATACGAGCCCTCCTGAACAGTGACTAGACAAAGCATGCAAACTCCTAGAAGGCAACACTTGGGCATGAAACACACGCCACACAGAAGCGGGAAGATCCATAGCGTGAATTGGAAATAATGAAATGTAAGCAAATCTCCACTCCCAACATGTTCCACACCTCTGCATTAGAGAGCGACGGCTCGACCTGTGTCTACATGAATCACACTCAGCTACTATTATTTTCATAACTCAATGCAAGCTTGCATATATAACCTACAATGCCTTAAGAGGAGAAGGAGGCAAAACACAGACTGATGAGACGTCTGGCAAAGGATGCAAGGATTCATCTCTGAAAGAGCGACAGATGCATGCAGAGTGACGCAAGTAAGTCACATCTGCGGTAAAAATACGGTGACTCAATCGCAATGGTGCCTGCAAACCGCTCTCAGAACCAACCAACCAATGTTTTCACTGACTCAGGAGCCATTCAACGAAACTATCACGCGTGCAAGCATGCATGTAAGAATGCATATCATGAACACATGCAAGCATGCATATAAGAATATATCAAGCATGCATATCACACAAACATACATGTATGCACATATAGATCACACAGGTGAGAATGCATATCATGCATACATGCAAGCACGTATATCATGCATGTAAGCATACATATCACGCTTGTAAAAACATATCACACATGCATGCAAGCACACATATCATGCAATTAAGCACACATATCATTTCACACACATCACGCATGTAAGCTCGCATATCACACATACATGCAAACATACATATCATGCTCTTCTATGGTCATCTGTTGAAGTTGATATACTCAGATCAACTAGCTGTTCCTGCACATGCTCTGATACATTCAATAGTGGCACTCATGCAGGTTTGAATCTGACTCAACATACAACAAGACTCAATAAGCTTCCAAAAGCATTTATGTACATGCATGTGCTTCTCAACACAAACACTTATGACATTTGCTTTTGCAATTGGAGCCAAGCCTTACGGTTTTTTTTTTTTTTTTAACAGAAGCCGAGCTGACCACAAAACCACTCACTCCACATTCTCTGCAACAACACAATGAGTGTTTCACTTCAAACGCTGTGTGTACACAGCACACACTTTTACCACACATCAGATCATATTCTGAGCATCATTAATCTTTTGTCTAATGTAATAATATCAGGTTTTAATAGATGCTAAATATAGCCATAATACACAAGGGTGTCTGTGTTTACATGTCGAAGCTCTCGCTATAAGCATCAGGGGTCAATGACTGTTAACAGCCGCTGGAAACCCTTTTCAGCCGAGTCCATGTCACGGGGAAAACGAACAGTCTGCTTTTTCTGTTCAAGGTTATGTAACTTATGCCAAAACAAACACCATTACAGTCAATGCAAAGGGCCTGGCGTATTTCTAAGGGTACAGAAAGCAGAAGAGTCTATTTAATGCGGTTAAAAGACAATTATAGATGACCACAGAGAGCTGAAAACTTAAAGACACACTCACAGACTTTAACACAAAAGAGCAGCAGCGCTTTAAATTACTTCCCTCCTCTCTCCTTAAAGGGTTAGTTCACCCAAAAATGAAAATTAGGCTGTGTTTTACTCACCCCCGAGTAGACTTGTGCTGGTATTCGGTAATGCGATATATCACGGTAATGAATATGCACGATATTGTTATCGTGGGCACTTCTAAATACCGTGAAGTTACCGGCTGCCGTTTAACCCTTTCAAACACAACAAGAAACGCATTTAACTCAATAAAACAAGTTGTTATTGCTTTAGGGACTGCTTTAGTATTATTAGCATTATCTCTACGTCAGTCAACGTCCCCAAGAAAGAAAATACAACGGGCATTAACTCGACAACAACCAAATATCTTAACAGTCATTATAAAATAATATCCTAATGTAATCAAACAAGACCTAGTCTGATATTTCATAATCATAAATACTTAAACAGCAACAGTTTGTAATAATTTTCTTTAAAACCTTTGATGCATGACATTTACAGTGGGCAGATCTTCAAAAGCAATTTAAACCATTCAGACTCACATTTTTATTTTTTTGTCAGCATTCAAAATGGGCAACAAAAGTAATTTTTATCTTGTATTGCAGTGGACAGATGTGTATACATACAAAAAACAAAAGTATCAAAATGTACCACGGTACTACAATGGTTTTTGGACATAAACCAGGATATTCTTCGATGGATTTTAATGCCGAAAGTACTTTTATGTAACGGGTTTACTTCAAAAAACACAATTTTATAAAAATAAAAGAAATTTCAAAACTGAGAGTTTTAAGTAAACACACATTGAGAAATTCGTGTCTTTCTGATTGAATAATTCCAGCATATCAAAGGGTTAATAACATTAGAAATCTCCTAAAACTTGGATTCATATATTTTTCTATTAGTATACGAAACTCTCGCATGCAAAGCATTAAATAACGATTGTTAAAGGTTTAATAACGATATAAAAGTGTCACAAGTATAAAGTGTTCTGAACTGAAGTGGATTTGGGATGAAAACACTGCAAACGTGGCAGAGTTTCACTACTAATAACCAGACAGAGAGGTTCATGTATCCAATACAGCATCATTTAGATTCGCTTTAGAATCCTGACAATTCACGAATCCAAGTCTAAAATGCATGCATGTATCCAGTAATAATGCATTAAGTAACACTAAATGGAAGCGGACATGATTGCGTCGGTCTCTTACCTTCAAACCGAACTCCACTCCGTCATTTCATGACAAACACAGCCGATGTGTTCCTCCATCAGGTTCCTCGCGCACATTCACATCTGATTACCGCGTATAAACATCATATGATCACACAAACCCGAGGGTACGTCGCTCTTTAAGGGCACGAGCGCAGATCAGTACTGTGTGTGCAACGGGAAATTCTGCAGACCGGCTGCGACTTGTTGCTCAGCCGTGCGGAGGCAGAGGGGCGTGGCTTGGCAAACAGGCCCCGCCCCTAGAGTTGCTGCTGCTGCAGTCGCTCTTCAAGCACGTGGACGGATGTACCTGCAAACCACTTGTGAAATAGCACTTCCTGTCTTCAGTTCTGTATTTTCACATCAGCTGGAAATGAAGGTCAACTGCACTATATCGTAAATGCACATGGCAAATATCATTTAACAATATTACACACACACACACACGAGTTAGTGAATGCATTAAATCATCGCTAGCGTTTACAGAGCGTACAGTTAAATTAGAAGTAGACTAGTTGTCATATATTTGTTTCCTTTTACATATTTGTATCATTTTATGATTTCGTTTGCGTTATAATTGTTTTACTGTTTAGCTGAAAATCCAAATAGCTAGTTGCCATTGTGACAACTTGCCCCAGATAGCACACGTACGTCTGCAAGATGTCTGTTAAAGATCGCTTCATCTGGAAAGCATCTGCTGTGTCCAAACATCTGACAGATGTCTTTAAGATGTCAGTTTTACATGCATTCTAAATCATAAACATCTTAAAGACATCTTCTAAACGTCTATGTGACATCTGATAGGAAACATCCCATAGACGTATTGCAGATGAGCATACACTCTAAAAATGCAGACGTCTCCGTGATGTATGTATATTTTCCTGTGCAATAACGGTAAAAATGTTCAAAAACGGTTTACACAAAAATTAATAATCATAACCCACCTTGTGAAATATTCACCTGGATAAAAAGTGTGACAACTAACCCCGGTCTTCCCAACTTATAGTCGGTACGGCATCACTTAATATGCATATGTAAGCAACACCAACAAGAACTTCTGTTGTGGTACTATGGTATTGTTTTAAATACAATGTGAATGCTGTATCAAGGTATACGAATGTAGCAATCATTCAGTGCGGTGGCATATACAGTATATTCATTGTACCATCTATCATCAAGCAATTTTCTCAAATTGTTGCATATTCTTGCAAGGCATTATAAACAGAATAGAGTGTTTTAGATTCACAGCAGCTCCAGCGGGTCTCATTGTGTTTGGCACCAAGAGCCTTGAATTCTAATCGCGCACGTGCCTCGCATATAAAGAGACGAAACATCACGAGGGCTTCACAAGCTCTCTCACACAATCTTTACGGTTTGGCAGTTCTTAATAGTGAACACACGTTACACGTGGCTTTAGATTTGGGGAATATCAGCACTCATTTTCAATGGACGCCATCGCATTCATGTTGTGTCCTGTCTTTCTTTACGAACAGGGTTTCCAGGTTTTCACAACAAAACCCGCCCAATTGGTACTCAAAACAAGCACAATGGCGTTTCGAGGGGGCTCCCCCGGTAAAAATCGCGTTTTTAGCGGGGTTCCCCTGGTAAAATTCGCATTCCAGTGGCTAAATGTCACGCGGCAAGTGTTGAAGTAGCCCGATTCCGCGGGAAAACCGCGGACTTGGCAACACTGTTTATGATTCTCCTCCAGCGCTCACGCGGGGTTTCCATGGCAACTGCTGAATCCTCAAGCGCGCTCGGCTCTTCATTCCCGCGCTGGTCACCTGATGGCGCGAAGCTGAGCTGAACAACAAAACGGCACTAAAAAAGTACCTCAGAAGCCGAAAACTGATTTTCAAGAAGTAAAACGTCTTCCCCTATTTTAAATGATAAATGTTTATGACGTAAGCCAGGTTTCTACATAACTTTCCACAGGTTTTAGTTTCTTTCCCAAACATAAAGTTGCTGATTATGTTTTCGGACGTGAAGAAGGAAACAAACAAGACGGCTGTCGATTGACGAGGTACTTGATTCACACACCATTTTTATATGGGTACTACTTCATCTATCGTTTGCTTAATTGTTACAGAATTGAGCACATTTGGTCCTTATTTAGTGTAGACGCCATATTACATTTGATTTATACGCGTACGGTACGTTTATTATGCTATACATTGTCTTACGATCTTATCACGAAGTATGAGCGTAGTATTTTTCAGGGTTTGACACCCAGATACACCAAAGTATCAACAATTTAATGGACTGTACGCCTATTCTCATACCCTAACTGGTGAGACATTAAATATGGCGTTCATACACAGATACAATCAAGAATTTGCTGAATACGAAATTGTCAACACAATTTATTTTCTCGAATCATTAGTGAGGCACAACTAGGCAAAAACACGGTGCCTCAAAAGCAGGTAAAAGACAGCCCTCTGTTGGCCAAAGCTTGGTAATACAATTCCTGTTATTGATTTGGGTCAGTTGGAGGCAAGTTGAGATTGATTTATTTGGTAAAATAAGTGTGGATAAAGACGTATATGCTCATCTGCAATACGTCTATAGGATGTTTCCTATCAGATGTCAAATAGACGTTTAGAAGATGTCTTCAGGATGTTTATGATGTAAAACTGACATCTTAAAGACGTCTGTCAGATGCTTGTACACAGCAGATGCTTTAGTTCTGTATTTTCACATCAGCTGGAAATGAAGGTCAACTGCACTATATCGTAAATGCACATGGCAAATATCATTTAACAATATTACACACACACACACACGAGTTAGTGAATGCATTAAATCATCGCTAGCGTTTACAGAGCGTACAGTTAAATTAGAAGTAGACTAGTTGTCATATATTTGTTTCCTTTTACATATTTGTATCATTTTATGATTTCGTTTGCGTTATAATTGTTTTACTGTTTAGCTGAAAATCCAAATAGCTAGTTGCCATTGTGACAACTTGCCCCAGATAGCACACGTACGTCTGCAAGATGTCTGTTAAAGATCGCTTCATCTGGAAAGCATCTGCTGTGTCCAAACATCTGACAGATGTCTTTAAGATGTCAGTTTTACATGCATTCTAAATCATAAACATCTTAAAGACATCTTCTAAACGTCTATGTGACATCTGATAGGAAACATCCCATAGACGTATTGCAGATGAGCATACACTCTAAAAATGCAGACGTCTCCGTGATGTATGTATATTTTCCTGTGCAATAACGGTAAAAATGTTCAAAAACGGTTTACACAAAAATTAATAATCATAACCCACCTTGTGAAATATTCACCTGGATAAAAAGTGTGACAACTAACCCCGGTCTTCCCAACTTATAGTCGGTACGGCATCACTTAATATGCATATGTAAGCAACACCAACAAGAACTTCTGTTGTGGTACTATGGTATTGTTTTAAATACAATGTGAATGCTGTATCAAGGTATACGAATGTAGCAATCATTCAGTGCGGTGGCATATACAGTATATTCATTGTACCATCTATCATCAAGCAATTTTCTCAAATTGTTGCATATTCTTGCAAGGCATTATAAACAGAATAGAGTGTTTTAGATTCACAGCAGCTCCAGCGGGTCTCATTGTGTTTGGCACCAAGAGCCTTGAATTCTAATCGCGCACGTGCCTCGCATATAAAGAGACGAAACATCACGAGGGCTTCACAAGCTCTCTCACACAATCTTTACGGTTTGGCAGTTCTTAATAGTGAACACACGTTACACGTGGCTTTAGATTTGGGGAATATCAGCACTCATTTTCAATGGACGCCATCGCATTCATGTTGTGTCCTGTCTTTCTTTACGAACAGGGTTTCCAGGTTTTCACAACAAAACCCGCCCAATTGGTACTCAAAACAAGCACAATGGCGTTTCGAGGGGGCTCCCCCGGTAAAAATCGCGTTTTTAGCGGGGTTCCCCTGGTAAAATTCGCATTCCAGTGGCTAAATGTCACGCGGCAAGTGTTGAAGTAGCCCGATTCCGCGGGAAAACCGCGGACTTGGCAACACTGTTTATGATTCTCCTCCAGCGCTCACGCGGGGTTTCCATGGCAACTGCTGAATCCTCAAGCGCGCTCGGCTCTTCATTCCCGCGCTGGTCACCTGATGGCGCGAAGCTGAGCTGAACAACAAAACGGCACTAAAAAAGTACCTCAGAAGCCGAAAACTGATTTTCAAGAAGTAAAACGTCTTCCCCTATTTTAAATGATAAATGTTTATGACGTAAGCCAGGTTTCTACATAACTTTCCACAGGTTTTAGTTTTTTCCACAAAAACATAAAGTTGCTGATTATGTTTTCGGACGTGAAGAAGGAAACGAACAAGACGGCTGTCGATTGACGAGGTACTTGATTCACACACCATTTTTATATGGGTACTACTTCATCTATCGTTTGCTTAATTGTTACAGAATCGAGCACATTTGGTCCTTATTTAGGGTGGACGCCATATTACATTTGATTTATACGCGTACGGTACGTTTATTATGCTATACATTGTCTTACGATCTTATCACGAAATATGAGCGTAGTATTTTTCAGGGTTTGACACCCAGATACACCGAAGTATCAACAATTTAATGGACTGTACGCCTATTCTCATACCCTAACTGGTGAGACATTGAATATGGCGTTCGTACACAGATACAATCAAGAATTTGCTGAATACGAAATTGTCAACAAAATTTATTTTCTCGAATCATTAGTGAGGCACAACCAGGCAAAAATACGGTGCCCCAAAAGCAGGTAAAAGACAGCCCTCTGCTGGCCAAAGTTTGGTAATACAATTCCTGTTATTGATTTGGGTCAGTTGGAGGCAAGTTGAGATTGATGTATTTGGTAAAATAAGTGTGGATAAAGAAAACGAGAACTTAAACCTTTTCTCAGGTCTTCTACTCGGCATTTCTTATATGATAGTCTCTCAGATTGGCCTGGGTTTATATGGTTCCAGATTACATTTGATTACTTTTCTAAATTTCTAAAGAATGTTTTCAACTGATAATCATTTTCAAACATTAAAAGCAGGCAGGGTTTAACCTTACAGTAGGACACAGATCATTGTCAGACTTTCAGAATCCTTCATCTCTTGAATTAAAATTATAATAATTTAATTTTAAAGTGCAGGCACCACAAAATCAGACTTTAAAAGTTCTATTTACTTTGATATCGTTCTGAGGTTAAATACAGATTTAAAATCATAAGAAATAGTTTAATAGC